ATATATATATATATATATATATACACATATACATATACATATACATATAGTGATTTTGGCTAAGTTTTATTAAGGATAGCTTAAGACTTTATCAGGTTATAAAGTACATAAGTTAAAATGTACATAACTTAAGTCGAGTTAAGCTACTAGTAAGATATGTTGTAAATTCGATTTTTTATTAGTATTATCCACTTATTCGTTGAATAAACTCATTTAGTTATATTTATTCGTAACCATACCATACGTGTATACAAAATTACTTATAGTCTATAATTTATAATTATCACATGTTCAAATAAATTAGGATATTAATTTTAATAACTTTTTCACTTGGAAATTTTCTGTCTTAATATTGATATCTTAGTTAAATATCTCAAAAATGTTCATTACTCAGATAGGTATATTACTCCTTTATTCTTTATATATTTATTCATTTCTGGTGGCTGCATTCAAGAAGTTAATGTATTTAATGAATACAACAAGCAGATTTTTATTGTGCACATCTTATTTTTCTAACAAGATGTATTATTTTCCACAATTTATATCCAGATGATATGCATTGAAAAATATTCGTTTAACACAATAGGGATTTGTCTTTCAATAGTCTTTTGAAATTTTATTTTGCAAGTAAAATATTAATTTCATAATAGGACAAAAACATTTCCACGTTTTACATGTTAACATTATAATTTTACAATATATAGGAATATTCTTTGCGCATCAGACAAAAGATAGTTGAAAGCTTCTTTAAAGCAGCCATCATAAATTTACTAGATTAAGTATTTTAAGTTTACGAACACTCAAAATGGATACTACTATTAAACATCTGTACCATAGATATTTACAAAATTTTAGAAAATGCATGTTCCAATTGATACTAAAAGAATTATATGTAAAATGCTACAAAAATATGTTTTTCCAAATCAATAGCAATCATTATCATTAATACGATAAACAATAGTTAATGTAACGATCAATTTGTACAAATAAATACACAGAAAAGAAAAGAATAAATAAAATGTACTGTTGGTGGTATGATGATAAAGATACAAAAAGTTGGGGTTACATAAAAGAAATGTATTTTTTGTATAAATATATGGGGCACCTTTTGATATACTCTCTCACGTTTGGACGACAGGATTTGGCTTTCTAAGTTTCGAGGATGAAGATGCTGTGGACCGATGCGTAGCGGAGCATTTCGTCAACTTGAATGGAAAACAGGTATAGCATACCTACACACTAGTATATATTACATATCACTAGATTACTGTAATGTAAAATAATAATAAGTACGAATGTTAATGGCAGTTTATTCTTATGTACCGCATAGTTTTACATAATCATGTTAGTTATAGTACTTATTCTGTTTTACACAATTTGCTCATACTGTGTTACTCTTAACGATTGTATGTTTAGTTCTTATTATATAAGTATCAATTTAAAAGAGTGAAACGTCTAGAATATCGTATATACATGCGTTGTATAGCAAGTCAAAAATTAGAATATATTTAGAATTGATGTAAGACTTGGCGAGTTTTAAAGGTTTATACACATGCTCATGAAAAAAAAGAAAAAGAAAAAAAAGAAAGAAAAGAAAGAAAGAAAGAAAGAAAAAAGGAAAAATTAAGGTATAAATAGGATTACTTTCGTTCGATCGAGATCGAGATCCTATTTGATATCTCTAACTGATTCGAGTTATGAAAGGTGGACGATAATGATTTATACAAATTGTTTCGTTTCTTTCTTTGATTGCAGGTTGAAATTAAACGTGCAGAACCACGAGATTCTTCTAGCAAAATGAACGATAGCCACCAAGGTCAATGGGGACCACCTCAACAGGGTGGACCTCCAATGGGAATGGGTGGGAATATGGGACCTATGGGTGGTCCAAATGGACAGATGGGTGGACCGATGATGGGAGGCCCAATGGGTCCGCCAGGAAACATGATGCAACAGTATCAAGGTTGGGGTACAAGTCCTCAGACTGGAGGGTATGCTGCTGGATATACCACGCAGTATAACTCTCAGGGTTGGGGTGCACCTCCTGGCCCTCCGCAACAGCAACAAATTCCACCACCACCACACCATCAGTGGGGTAACAGTTACAATGTTCAGCCTACAGCAGCTACTCAAGGCTACGGAAGTTATGGTGAGTTTTTTAGACATAGTACAACTTAAGTTTTCTTTTTTTCATATCTTTTACTTTTAGAATTTAGGCAATAATAAATTTCGTTTTATTTCGAGATAACGAGATATTCGATAAGTTTAGTTGTAAGTACGTTAAAAATTTAGAAATACGGTTTCATTTTCTATGATGTTGTGTGTAATAATTCTACAGCGTTTTCGATCGTAATTATTGTTAAACGATACCAATAACGACGACAATCGTAACGTTCTCTTTTAAATTACAAATTTCAAATATACTCAATAATTGAAATACCGTGTGACGAACCGTCAATTTTGTTTATGCATTTTTCTCAAGGATAACATACAATAAGGTCATAGTTATAAAGGTTAACAATAACTTTGATCCTATCCTCTCCCCTTCCATCCTCCTTGGAGATGTTAGGAAGAAATAAAGATAAGAACATGAGAAAACAAATACCTATAGTACACAATTATCATTTTTTTGATACCCTCTGGAGGTTATTATGGAAAGAGAATACAATAGGACATCATCAAGTGTATATCGAAATTATGTCAGTTCAGACTCGTTACTTGCTTTTTCTATGCCTCTTAAAATGACGCGTATTTTCCTATCTAGCCACAATTTGCGTTTACTCGTTTTACCTTATAGTTAAGCCAACTGTTTAATATCGTGAAGCAATTTAAAGTTTACCACCATGTTTCCTTCCTCGAGTCTGAATAGATGGAAATACATATTTTCGATAATAAACACTTCCGAAACATCGAACCTCATGATGTTATCTATCAAGTTTATGCTTGCTTTTCTCACAAGATAGCTGTATACCGTAGAAAATGAATGTTTCTAAAAACGGTGATACAAAATATTTGCAGTAAACCTTTACATTGTAAATAACAGTTTATCGCGTAGTTATGATTCAGTGCGTTATCTATCGAGAAAATCAAGCAGAAAATTTAAGTTGAAACGATATTGAACATTAAAGACACTATAAGACAGTTCATAAGTGAAAACGAACCATTTAAGTGCCAAGACCGCTACGAGTGACGAAAAACTATGCCTCTAAATTACTTTGTCCTCGTTGTTCGTTGCAACGAAATAATTTGTAGCTGCCTTTGAACGGAGGTCCATTTAGGCAAGGTTTTACCCTTCTCGATTCGCACTACGGATGAATAATCGTGTAACGTTTTTCAAGTTCATGGTTGAAAGAGGAGATGTTTGGTTCTCTTGCGCGGTAATCTCGCGAATAACGCGTTGCATGGGTGGGTTATAACGTTGATCGTTGTAAATTTTGATAAATGAAAATGTTCGGGTCGTACGGCGTCGATTAGTACGTACTTGGCACTGAAGTGGTCGGTTGAAATTAATAAGAAAAAGCTTTAGAGAAAACGGTGGTCGGTGACACGTGTTTTGTGTGGTTGATAATCGCAGGTGGGCCGGCGGCGGCCGCTTCTGGGGGCTATGGGCCCACGGCGGGTACTGGCGGGGCTGCGGGGGGCGGGCCCGGGGGTTCCTGGAACTCCTGGAACATGCCACAAAACGGGCCCCCTCCTGGGACCCAGCCACCACCTCAGCCCCCTCAGCCTAACTCCTCGCAGCCCAACTCCAACTCGAACCCCTCTGGCCCGCAGGGTGAGTCTTCAAGCTCAGTCAAACAAACTCTTTCCTCTTTCCACCCTTTCGCATCGTACAGCTCTATTTTTACATAGTCGAGCCTGGCTATAAATTATCTGTTACTTTTACGTCTCGATTTTTCGCTCTCTTACTTTCTCTCTCTTTCTTTCTCTTTCTTTCTTTCTTTCACTCTGTTTGGACTAAAAACCTAAATTTTTGTTCGTTTTTTTTCTTTTTTTCTTTAAAAGATAATCAGCCCATTAGATAATTTTTATGGTTAGTCATGTCCGGATAGGTTTGTATTCAGGATCTTGATTTTAAATAACGATCGATAAGCACGCGGCGAAGAGAGATGGCATGATTGTAATTTAGCGTGATACACCGAGATCATGCTTCGCTTATTAACAGTATTTTTTATTGTGAAAATTTATTGTATCGTTAAGTGTTTCTTTGGCTCGTCCAAGAATGTAACGTCTGTTTAATAATACCTTTGTCTGTTAACATACAATTAATTAAATGTAATTGGCTTTCGGAGTTCACCAAGAGATGAGCTTTTCATGCATTGGGGTTGGAAGAACGAGAAACCGAAGAATTTAATTGTGTTGTAAACGAAAGAGAAAAGTTTATTTTTATTGAATAAAATTTTTGTCCTATTTATACGAACCTCCACTGTTTCCCGATTCCTTCATATTTGCACATTCGTTAGTTTGCCTAATTATCTGGTAATTCTGTCTTACGTGTCTCTGCGCTTATTTCCTTTTTGCGTCTAGAATGTCGATAGCATGTACTTTCGTTTGTACAAATTATAAGTATACTTAGTTTTAATACAGAGCTACCTAGGATTACGAAAATTGTAAATCACATCATTTTATATGTTTTCTATTAGTATATATTTAAAGGTAGAGCTACGCTTAGAATATTTGTTATGCTTACAATCGTTAGACAAGATTTGGTGAATATCGTAGTAATGTAATCATCGGCATTTCGCACTTACTCATCCACTACATCACTCCTAATTTTGTATTTTTTAATTTGAAATCGATCACTCTTTGTCCTATGTAAACCAATACAAGTATTTTCTTTCTACTTTCATTGGTTGTTTTTTAATACCTCCCAAGACTAGTAATTTGGTCAGTACTCCTTTAGTTGTGGTATTTTTAGAGTAGACTAGGTATTTGGAAATAATTTTTTAAGTGTATTCATGTTGTTTCTTTTGATCTATTGTAATGTCATTGTAAAAAGGAATATAAAAATTTTGAATTTTATAAAAAAATAACTTGCTGTAATGTAGTATAGTGCAATCCTACTCTCGCTCCTTCCATTCCCTGTATGGTCTAGTAGTATCTGACGAATCTATATCTTAGCATTCGAGTCTTTATTTTTTTTTAACTAGGTTCTTTTGCAAATTTTTGTTTTTTCTTTACTTTTTTCCATTTTTTATTTTTATTTTATTAATCCTTTTAGTTTTTATACTTCTCGCTACTTTTTTTTTTATTTTTTCACCGAACTTTACGTTCCGCAGAGTTCATAGAATCTATTGCGAGTTTCGTAACGGAGCAGTAATTTATGTTCTCGATAATGGTAGACATCAATTCGTTTTTAGTCTCTCGAGATCAGTACAGTTCTCTGCTTGTTTTGCGTAATTAGTCTCTTACGAAATTAACGCGTAAATTACATTTGTGATTGTTCACGATGCTTTTCAATTGCACGTACTGATCTCATTATTGTTTAGTATGACATAATCCCCATATGTGTAAAAATTCCTTTGTGTTTCAAATTATTCGTGATAGAAAGTAGAAACGAGAGATGGTATATTTTTGATACTTTCGTTTTATCCGTCATGATTCACCGTCTACGAATAAACAGTTTCATAATAGACTCGGTCGTAAAGTAATCGGATTATCCAGCCGCGAGCCGATCTTTGCCATGACGAGTATCAAAAATGTATCTTTTCCGTGGGCAGAGTAGTCTCGTAGCTTATGAATAAACGAAACGAGGTAAGTGGCGAAGTTGGATAATACGGTGAAAATCAATGTTGCAGGTGACATGTATTCGCGACAGACCACCGGCTCAGGTGCACCTGGGTCCAGTAGCAGTTCAGCTAAAACTCCGGATTATACTGGGTACTCCGCATATGGTAATTACGCTGACACCAGTTATCCTCAGCGTTCGTATCAAGGAGGAGAAAGCAACCAAGGTGGGTATGCCGCCAGCGCCCCTAAACCCCAGCAAGGCTTTGATTTCAAAGAGTGGCCCACCTCGTGACCATTTTAATTGACCCGTGATGGAGAGATGCGCTGAATGGCTTGGCCTTGCTCGTGGGTTATTTCATATTACATATTCAGAGACATACAGAAACATAAAATATTGCGCATTGATCGTGAGAATCTGTGCTCGAATCTTGGGACATTCTTTGAGTCTATTTATATTCGGCGGTAATGGGAAAGAGATTTTATTTTCAGCACCCTAATGCTCCATTGTTTCGAGGAATTTCGCTGATTTTCATACTACTTTTTTTTGCAGCATTTACTGCCACTTACAAGATTATTTTTTCTATCGAAACGTCGTACGCGAGATTTTCATTTATCGCTACTTTGACTCTCTTGTTCGAGAGAAAGAGAGAGAGAGAATGAGGGAGGGAGTGGTAGGGAGTCGACGAAAATTTATCGTGCAAAGAATGTCTCGTTCGAGCCAGTATGTCGTTCGCGAGCGGTCGTATTTTTGCAGTTTCTTAATAATCTCCTTCAAACGTAGTAATTTTTCACATATCGTTTTTGGCATTCTTAAAGAAAAAACGAAAAAAAGAAAAAAATAAAAAAAACAAAAAAAAAAGAGAGAAATGCATCTGTCCAAGTTTGTAAAACGGAAGCGTCAAGGAAAATAGGGTGTTAGGTTTATAGTTTCATTGATTTCATTGATCGCTCGCGAGAACGGCCCATGATCTTGTTGGGTTTCAAAACTGCAGTAGAAATAATTGAAACCGTACATTGAAAGAAAGATAAACTGACAGAAATATACAAGCAAAAAACAGATGAATAATAAGCTAGGATGAAGATGAACACCCATGGTGCAAGCGAATTTTGTATGGCACTGGGATAGAGGGTAGGAAGCGGAACATAGAAGTATTATAAGAGTTAAACTAGAACGAATGGAATAAGTAAAATAAAGCATTAAAATAAAGCGAGTGTAAAGAATAAGGAATGCTGAACATTAATTACTTAACAGCATTTAAGCGGGGGTGAATGAGATTTCGTTTTGAGAAATTTCTTCTCAGTGGATGGCACAAATTTCGATGCTCGTTCACCTTTTTGATACTTTTAGTGAACACTTCGGTAATTTGAAAATAAGAATATTAAATAAAAGAAATACTATATTACGGTCTCCAGTGGAAGGTCGGCGAATGACTTGCACATTTGAGACACCCGTCCCTCCACGATCTCGTATTTATTAAAATAGTTGTTATGCTGGAACGACCGAAAAAAAAAAAAAAAAAAAACGTAACGAGTAATTAATGAAATAATTAAGTAAGGTGTTCACACAGGCTGACTTATAACCTAAACTACAGAGAGATAGTGTAAAATAAATAGATCCTTTTAATATGATGTATGTATATCTATAACTCTATGACAGCAGGGTGCAGTTTCCTTAAGCATATGTTTTTTTTCTCTTCCTTTTTTTTTTCTTTTTCTTTTTTATTTTCACGTCGTATCACTAGTAGTATTTTAGACATTGTCAATGTCTAGTTCCTTTTTCTTCTACTCTCCTTCGCTTTTGACTTTCTTTAATTTAGGTTTGTCTGGTCCTTTTCCATTTCCATTGATCCGAAAGCTTTTTATCGTCTCTGGAAGGAAGAGGACGAGAAAGGAAACGAAAAAAAAAGATACTGAATTTTTTAAAGAAAAAAATTTGTATTATAAGAACATTTGGTCCGTCAGACAGGTTTCTGTACGGCCATATTGCATCAAATATGGAAACTAGTTTATTTTTTACCTCGGATTTATAATAGTTAATTATTAGGCACGTTTAAGACTACAATTATTGTTACTATTATTATTACTTCTATGATAATTATTACTATTATACTACTATTACCATTATAAACTATTTACAGCTATTTATCACAATTTACTGTTGCGACTGCTCCTACTGCAACCATTATGATTGCACTACTATACACACTATTATTACTGTCTATGATAATTACAAATATTGTACGATGATGCTTATAAGTGTTTAAATTTTAGATGATTAGAGATGAAAGAGATCATGATATCTAATGGATGGAGGGAGGGGTACTTGCAATTTGTGCGGTGTACTCGGCGGGGGGCGTCGATCTGAAAAGTCTACCTGATTAAATATATGACTTAATTGTATTTACTCTGTAGGATTTACCATAGTTCTAAACAAGGAATATTTCGGAAGAATGCTCTCAAATGCTCATGTTTATTACTGAGCGGGTCGCGTTGTGTCTTACTTTGTCAATAAGAATCGCAAGTATTACGCTAATGTAATTTTAAATTTTTTACGAGGTCACAATATTAATCAGTAGGTTACAATTAATAATGGATCAGCAATTTGTGTAAGCTTCCTCATTATTGATCTCAATACGATTAGGGTTTTCTTTATTTTTTTTTTCCCCTCTTCATAGGCATCTATTCTTTTTCTTGTCAAATTATTGCGACTACCATTTTTTGGTCTTTTCTTTTTTTATTTTTATTTATTTATTTTTTTTTTTTTTATTTTTACCCCCCTTATTATTTTTATCTTTTCATTTCTCGTCAACACGAACTCTCGCGGTGAGCGTTTAAGCTTTTATTCTTTTAGTCATTGATCGACTTTCAAATCAATTAAACTACTGTACTTATTTCGCATGTCTGTTTGAAACTGCTCGTTACCATTTCCAATTCGGTACAGTTAATTAACAGTATCGCGTAGTATCGTAGAAACAGGGATACGTAAAAGTCAATGAGATGAAGAAAATGCATTAACAGACGCGACTCGTGGAAACTTCTGGGATCAACGCAATAACACATTTACTGACTAAACTAAAGACAAGAAAAGACGAGTAGGGAGCTCAATCAAACGAAAACCACTTTTTACACTACCTTTTACACAACTTAATTGTTATGGTAACTACACGAACACGTAACATACGTACTCTCAACAGATACACATTTAACACGTACACTTCTACGCGCATAAAGAAGTAAACTAATTAAACAGAGGCCACAAGTTATTGAACATCCAAATAATAGTAAATTAATAAGATGCTAAAATAGATAAAGAAAAAAGATAAAAAAAAAAAAGAAACAAAATGAAAGCGATGACTTTGTGGTTGTACTAAATAATTACGTTATTTAATACCTACTTGAGAGGCAGAGAGAGAGAGAGAGAGAGAGAGAGAGAGAGAGAGAGAGAGAGAGAGAGAGAGAGAGAGAGAGAGAGAGAGAGAGAGAGAGACAGAGTGGGAGAGAAAGTGAGCGAGAGAGAAGATGAGAGAAAGACTGTGAGAGCAGCAAATTTAAGTAGACAGAGAGAAAGAGAGAGAGAGAGAGAGAAAGTTTTTATCTTTACGGCTGTTTTTTCAGAACTTATTTTATAAAGTAATATAATAAAGAAACGTAAAAGAAAAACCACTAGTATATCGATTATGATTATAATTATTACTACTAACTATTGTATTCCTTACTATTATCGATTTTTAAATAAAGTTAAAGCGTATAAATTTAAAGAATTTTTAAGTGTATGCAAAGCGTTGGGAGAAAGTGATTATAACATTTGATTTATAGACGTGTTAACGATAATTAATGTGTTTGCTGGAATCGATAAGCCAGGTAAATTAATTTATATTATAATTAACGAGTCTCAGAGGGATGATTAAATTACTCTAGCGTGAAGGAAGGGAAATGCAAGGGAGAAAAAAAAAAAAGAAATAATGATGATACAAAGTTAAATGGCTGCCTTGCCGCACTTGTATATACATATATTTTAGAGTACGCTGGAAAAGTATAGTATCGAGATAATAAAGCGAAAGTGGTAGCAATGGATTTGAAAAATACACACAAAATGACGACGGGAAAGCGGGAACTAGCGGGACTACTCGAATAATTGACGATTAATAATTATAACAGATAATATATTTATATTTAACGCAATATTATTAGTATTTTTCAATACAGAAATAATGCATCTAATTAACGTAATACGTAGCAAATAGGGAAAAATACTTTGATTCTAGCCGTTGTTACTACCTGTCGTAATTTCGTAAATTTTACGGATTACGACTTGCTCTCAGGGTTGTTACTGTCTTTTTTCCTCCTTTTTCTTTTATTTTTCCCTCCCCCACCCCCCTCTTTCTTTTTCTTCTTTTTTTTAATCACCTTTTTATGTTCTCCCTGTCTAAGATTTTTCACTTACTGTTAGAATCTTCGAGTATCGTTGTATTTATATGTTTAGGTCGGTATCTCATTTTCCTTTTCTTTTCGTTCTTTCATACAAGTAGACACTGAACTCAGTATTTTGAAGGAAACATTTGCGAAATGTTTTTTCTTTCTTTCTTTCTTTTTTTTTATTATCATTTTATGAGCGGTGTCGTGCGGAAAAGCATCGTTTTTACTGTAAAATATTTATTGTTGATACATAGGACTGAGGCACTCCTTATTTTCGTATAGAGAGATAATAATTGTACGTTAAGATTTAAGTACTGAAAACCACAGACAGCTCGTAGATTTAATTCCTCGTTACTTTTAAGACACTACCAACAGGGAGAGTAAAAGAAAACAATTCAACTTTTTCGACACGTTAGATGTGTAATTTTTACACTTTTTACACTTTTGCACGTTTTAATATTTTCCCCGTTTCTTTATCGAGTCATTTAAGGATTTAATATCTCTGGAATCTGTTCCGTGCATCGTAATAACGTTTTCCCATTTCTTCATGCATTTCATAACTTCGCTTAATCGTGTCTCTTCTATATTTTTCTCCCCCCCCCCCCCCCC